AGATCGGGCAATTCCCTCCTTAACCAGGGGAGGCGACCCCGACTCCAATCGCTCACAGATGTCCTCCAATAATGTAATCAAACCAGCAGGCAGATCTGTATAAAAGGTGCCCATGCAACTGCTGATTATCGGCCGATAATCGCGGGAAATCCCGCGATCGTACGATAATCGGCAGGTGTATGGAAGGCGTGCGAACGTTTCTACTGTACAGTCGCACATCTTTTGTCTTACGAGCATGTTTTTTTGAGATTGGCCCAGGTGGAGATTACTCCATCCACACAGTTAAGTGTAGATGCAGGAATCTGTTGCACCTTTTCCATCTGACCACATTATTGGAGGACATCTGTGAGCGATTGGAGTCGGGGTCGCCTCCCCTGGTTAAGAAGGGAATTGCCCGATTTGACCTTTTGTTGAAGTCTATCAATAAGGTGAGCACCCCTATACCTGGTCTAGTGCATTTGATGAAGGAACAAAATATCTCATGATTAAACTCAATAGTTCATTTCATGATTCTATGGTATTCAGGCCATGTATTCCTATTCATTAAATAGAAATAGATACGAATGTTGTCTAGTTGTATGTTTTTCCATCAGCTTCTGTTACACAAGAACACTTAAGGCTCATGCAGTTACATTTTTCAGTTACATCTTCAGAGACTCCCCTTGGCGCGCCAAAAACACAGAGGACTGGAATATGTTGGCATAAAATAGCCATTTTTCTCCTCTATGCTTAACGTAACACATTGCCGGGGGGAAAAGTCTGCACAGATGTTCGTCTCCCTATTCAGTGCTGTTCTTGGAATAAAAAGAAGGCCAGAAATCTAAAGCAGTCCAACAGTATGCATAATATCTAACAACTTCCCATGGCACTTATTATGGTTTTGAACGTTTTATTCTCACATGAGCTCACACTGGCCACCAGATACTTTTAGACATCCCAACCATTCTGGTTTCTGAGATATCTAAGACATAAAGCACTGCCAATTTATTTTGTATATTACCATCTTTATTCAGCTGTATTTGGGAAGACACTGATAGCAATACCTCTCTGCTTAAGCTCCAAAAAACAATGGACAAAGCATATTTCCTGAAACCTGCAGCAATCTGGCTGGATCTGACCCTTCTGTGTTCTTTCCCTGCCTGCTGTGCTATGGGCTTAGCCTGGGCGTGTGATGTTCTCTGTCCTGCGGTCTCCTAAGGTGTGCCATATACCAGCACTCTGAATGTTTAGGCACTGCTACCCTTTCTAAATATATCTATAGTATTTTCGTAGTCACTTCATTTGCCTTTCTGGGATTTGGCTGTTGCCTTCAATCTCGTCCCAGTTTAGTTCAGGTTCTTGGTCTCTGCTTTGGGCTGTGGGCTCCCAATTGTTCACCTTTATCTTCACCAACAAGTATCAATTTGAGATCCTGTTTGTAGACTCCTTCTCTAGATTTTCACTGATGTTACGGCAGTCAGCAACCTCCAAAAGTCCCTGTTTACACTTGTGAAGTGCGGCAATATACATTGTGCTTGTCGTATGCTGCGCATAGGGCAGCCCGTTAATTTCAATGGGCTGCCTATAGGTGACAAATGTGGCAAAGAAGCTCATGCATCTTTTTAACTGCGAGTGTCTTTGCCTGCAAAAAAATGTTCGCATTGCTTGGCACGTTTGGGGCAATATTAACAATGAATGGGACTGCAAGTGTAGCACGTATTTTTTGCACGTTTTGTGAATGTGCACTGAATTGCGGGATTTGGCACACGTTTACACACTACGTAGGCTACGTAGTCTTTAACTCTCTCATTACTGGTGGCTCCCTACTTATCATTATATCAAGATCAAGACTATATATCCCCTGTATTACTAATAATAAAGAGCAAACATAGATGTTTTATAACTGTCAGAACAGGTTCTTGGCTTTCCCTGCATGTACACCTTTCAATGGCAGTTTACACCAAATACAGTGTATACAAAAAAAAGTATCTGCTATAACAAAATGTTTACTAAAAAGGGAATATGTAGAGAGCCAGTGAGGTATCCTGGGCATTACACAGGAATACAAATGAGCAACAGTGTTCATTTATAGTATATAAAATATGGAAGTAGTTTTTTCTTTTTATTTATATTTCTAGGGAAAACTCACGTTACAACAGAATGTCAGTATAGATTCCAGAGGTAAGGGCTGCAGAAAATGCTGTTTAGAAGCTAAGTGACTTTAATATTACCCTGAATGTATCTTAAATATATTCTCATCCTAAGGCACAGTACATTTGTTTTTATTAGTACAGAAGGTATAAGGAGAGGGACTCAGAAAGCTTCTAGAATCTCCCAGTTATGATGTAGGCCAGGCACTTTGCAATCTGTATAAGTTGTCATTTTGAGGTCTTAACTTTCAATCCTTGCAAAGATTTGATAGATGCTAGCATACTGAGCCAGCTACCGGCTTCTTTTATCTCTCATGGATCCTTCTGGTGTGACCGATGCATTTGAATTTCCAGCCCCAACCACTTGCCGCAGCCCTTACAAAGAGGTTACTGACCCTGTTGAATTTTAAAATTACTTCACATTGCAGAGAATGTAGCAAGAGGAGACAGACTCCAACGCAGGAGTGCACAGTGGCAAGGTCTGGCCACCGAGGTTTCAGAGGGATGAAAGAAGCATGTTAGTGATTAGGCTCACCAGCATCTATCAAACAATGTAATGTCAGTTTTACTTACGCTCCTCTAAAAGGTGTTGAAATATATGCATTTGCCATTGCTGTTTGAATTGAGGTAATATTTCTTGAAAGCTTGTTTTAATAAACAGTTAAAGGCTTCTTCAAGAAATAATTTAAGTGCTAAGAACACAGAGCCATAACCCACAGCAACCAAACAGAACTTGCTCCACTGAAGTCAAAGCAACATATGACGGATTCAAATCGTTTGCTATGGGTGCTGCATGTTGCACTTAGCACTTTGCTCTTCACACTCCACAAAACAAAAACCTTCATATCACCGTATTTAAAAAAAGATTTTGCATTATGCAAAGGCTAAAAAAGTATTAGGCTGTGTAAGCATAAAGGTTGAACAGGCAAGCACCAAAGTACATATTTTAAATACATATCCATGAATCGTCTTACCTGCCAACAGGTTTGTAGTTCTGTTCAACCAGTATAGTGATACAAACACCCTAGCCAAGCAACATAGGCAGGACTGTGACCCCCAGTGCATATATGCCATACAAATTGATCAAGAGCCCAAGAGCTAGACTGACCGCAGCGTAAGAAACAATATAGCCATGACAGAGTATTGCCAATACCTAGCCTAGTCTACTAGAATGCTGATGTGTAGGGGATTAGAGGAAGCTAATAGAAAGAGTATTGTTAGTTCTGGTACTTATGCTGGCTGTGTTCATTTCTTTTTTTATTTTAAAAGGAGTAAATGTTTTTTTAAAAATCTGCTTACATTTCTGCTTGGAGTTGAAACCTATGCTTACAGAAATATACAGGATGACATTGCTGATCTTTTCTTGTAATATCCTGTCAGCTTTTGGCTCAACATTGCAAAGTCACTGACTCCGAAGAAGTATACTCGGCAGAAGTTCCCACTTAACTTCATTAACTCAGTTAGACAGCTAGGCAAGTAACATTTTCAGGAGTTACTCAGCAATAAAAGCCTCCATATTTATTTCAATACAAGTTTCTGTATATTTACATTCCTCATTACAATGCCTCATGGTCAGCATATGATAATAAATGTCCTCCCTTTTGGCAGTGACCTGCCAACATTTTGCACAGCTGCAAACTATGACAGCCTTAGTCCCAATTATGGTTTGGGAACCAGAGCTTTTCCCGATCATGTGATCAGCTATGACATGGTGATTGCATGCAGGCTAAAGGCTTAAAGGAGAACTATGAGGTGAGTGCTTTTCACTCACCTCATAGTTCTAGCCAACCTGTGACAATGAGACTGTCACAGGTCGGCTCAGTAGATCGGGAGGTGAGCGAACATATACCGGCGTTCGCTCACCTCTCGATCCTGTCACGGCTCTCTGCCGTGACAGGGGAGGGGCTGGATTCACCCCTCCCCCAGTCAGACGGGGAGGGGGCGGGTACAGCTGGCTCTGCCTCTAGATAGGCAGAGCCAGCTGTCACTCACGCAGCTGGGCGGATCTCAACATCGATGTCGGGATCTGCTCCGGCTGCAGCTTCTCAGTATACCGCGAGCTGTAGCTCGCGGTATACTGAGCTTAGGGTGACAGGAGGACGCTAGTTTGTGTCCTCCCGTTACCCTAAGGAGAACTATGGGGAAAAACACTGACCCCATAGTTCTTTAATTTAGGGACAAAAAAATGGTTCCAGCTTGCACAGGCCACTCCAGCCTGTAGATGCCTCTGTTTAATGCTTTAATTGTGTATTACAATTAAAGTATTTTTTTTAATGTAAAAGTATTACAAGTTTTTTTTATTATATTTTGAAACACCACACCAGGGTGGCTAGTTAAATTTTGTAGTTTAGGTGTGCAATTTAGATCAGATAATTCAAGTTAACCGATTGATCTGCATATCTAGGTATTTAATGAACTCTCAGCACATAATTGTTAAAACTGACATGCACTGTATTTCTACATGCAATTTATACAATGCCTCCATGCTAACCTGAATAAACTGCATATGTAAGCTTGTGTCTGTACTACTGATATGTTTAAATCAGATTCAAGCTAAATGTGTATTCTGCTAATAAAAACATATTCTTAAGCAAAAAAATGTGATGTGTTTGGGCAAATTCAAATGTTTATGTTTCTCCCTATACCTTCATATATTATATGATGCATTCAATAAAGACTTAAGCCAGTAGTGTGGCTATTTTCTTGAAGATTGGTTTAAAATAATATGATGTATTTAAGTCCTTCCATGAGGAAACCGTATCTAAACTGGAAAACAAAACATTTTCTATAAAACAATCAAATACTTCCAATGGTGTTTGAGGGGTTATTTCTCTTTGCACCAGTAAACAGCAGTATAAAAGACTGTGTCCTCCATGCAGAAACACAAAAACATTTGAAATGTAAGTAGCTCTGGTTTGTAAAGTAAATTATTCACACATTCATAAATAATCAGGAATGAATGTTTTGATTTGTAAAAGTTCAGAAACAGAATATTTGGTATTGTGAAAGAAGCTTAGTGCAGTAAGAAGTTCAACATCCCTCACACGGGCTGCATGGAATCGGAGAAGCTGTTTAACCCATATCGATTCATCCTTATCATCCTGTTAACACAAAAGAGAACAAAAAAGAATAAATGATTAGAAATTGTACTTTAAAATGTATTTTTCACTTTTTCAGCCAATTAGGATAACACCTAATTTAAATGTCCCTAAAAAATAACAACAAAAAAAATGTATAGCCTACATTTTTGGATGCTCTTTCTGGAAACTCCAGGACTGAAAAATAATGCCTGGTTCTCAAGTCTGAGGGGGCTGCGGGGAGTGTTGTTTTAAATAATAACTCTGTCTGTATTGTGCTGGCAGATTTCATTATCAATTGTGAGCTAGACTGCGTGTTCTAACAATGGGTTAAAGATCTCAAGGCATTGCATGTTGATGTACTTTAAAAAAAAAAAATAGAAGTTGCCTGTAGTGTCCTTTGTATAATCCTGCAGCAAACAAACATCTAAAAGATAAATATTTAGACATTCTGTTTTTAAGGTCTTCTGTGTAAACAATAACAAATAACAAACATACAGTGGGGATAGCTCAAATTTGGCTGCAAAAGTGGAAATACACTTTAAGGTTAGACATAGAGAAACAGATGTCACCCTGATAATATCATGTAGTAAAACATCTACCGGTCACTATCGATGAGCTTCAAATTTGCAAGTGTTAACTGGTCGTTTGTGTCTAGGTTAACAAAAAAAACAAAACAAAGGCATACTCACACAAAGCTCTGAGTCAGCTTCTTCTTAGACCGCTCCCTGAAATATATGTTCCCCTCCTCTGCAGCAGTTTAAGCTCCAGTAAATCATCACAGCTGTACACTGTGCATAGACGTGAGGATGCTGAGGAAGATTCCAATGTGCGGAGGAGGAGGGGACAGGGTTGAGGGAGCGCCATGACAGCTGGCCGGCTCGGAGCTTTGGGTGAGTATATCTTTGGGGTTTTTTTTAACCTAGATACAAACGAGCACTTAACCCTTGCATTGCAGGGGTAGCCCCACTGCAAGGGTTAATAAAAAAAATTCCTGGAGTTCTGCTTTAATAAGAACCATGTCATAAAGATGGTGGATACACTGAAATCTCTGAATATGTGTTCCTTTTCTCCACCTATGCTTTCCTCAGAGGGAACAAGGGTTGAAAGAAAACTTGTAGAGAGTATAATAAGGGGCTGCCGTTCCTGAGACTCTCTTAAAATGACACTAAACTCAGGAGCTAACCTTAAAGGAGAACTATGAGGTGAGTGCTTTTCCCTCACCTCATAGTTCTAGCTGACCTGTGACAATGAGACTGTCACAGGTCGGCTCAGTAGATCGGGAGGTGAGCGAACACATAGCGGCGTTCGCTCACTTCTCGATCCTGTCCCTGCAGAGAGCCGTGACAGGGAGGGGGCGGGTACAGCTGGCTCTGCCTCTAGATAGGCAGAGCCTGCTGTCACTCACACAGCTGGGCGGATCCAGACATAATTGTCGGGATCCGCTTCAGCTGCGGTGTATCAGTATACCGCGAGCTGTAGCTCGCGGTATACTGAGCTTAGGGTGACGGGAGGACGCTAGTTTGTGTCCTCCCGTTACCCTAAGAAAAACTATGGGGAAAAGCCTTAACCCCATAGTTCTCCTTTAACTAATAACAAAATTGTACCTTATTTGTGTACCACTCGGCTATAGCTCCTCAAATCATCTCTGAATTCATGCTGACACCGTCCTTCCTTCTGGAGGGGGGTTACCTTTGTTCCCCATGGTCAATGGGTGTGTTGTAAAATAGCCATCGCTCCAAGTTCGCTCCTGTGCTGGACCAACACTGTCCTTCCTTCTGGAGGGTGGCTACTTTTGTTCTCCATGGTCCCTGTGTGTGTTGTAAAGTAGCCTCCACTCTAAGGTCACTCTCATGATGGACTACAATCTCATTAAAAATGAGTAAACTAAACGTGAGATGATGGTCCATCATTGGAGCAAGCTTGGAGAGGCGGCTACATTAAAACACATACAGGGACCATGGGGAACAAAAGAAGCCACCCTCCAGAAGAAAGGACAGTGTCAGCATGAATCAGAGATGATCAAATAAGCTAAATTTTTGTTAATAGTTAAGAAATTGAATACATTTTAAAAAGTTTAGTGGCACTTTAAGAAGTCTAGTTTCCTGGTCACCTCAGACTTTAATATTTTTTGATTTGCCAAACTGAAACAAGCATTCAACCTAAATAAATCAGGACTTTACATTGGCAGTAGATACGTGTGATTTTTAAAATATTGTCTGTAAGAAAAAAATACTACCTGCTTGTTTCCTAGAGTTTGTCTGTAGAAGTACAGACATCTAACCACAAGAGGGAGCTATTACTTTTTCCTACATGTAAAGCTTCAGAATATAGACTTACAGCACAACGTTCACTGTTCTCTGGTCTATGAGGCACAACATAAGAGATCACATCAAGAGGTCCAGTACACTGCAGCAGGGATTCGGAGGAATTTTTACAGCTAGTCAGAACAATAAAGTAGTGAGTTGGAATGTAAACATCTGTATCTTTTGACATTCTGCAAGAAAAAAAAGAAAAATCAGTGAAGCAAAAAACAGCCAGCAGCATGTATACACAACAGTACATTTAGTAATGTTCTGTATGCAAAAATAGGCTTTAAACTGAATGTATACTTTGCCCATACTGGATAAAATAAAGTTTCATGGTACCTTGTGGGGTATAAGGTACCTGCTACATATAATGATCACCAACTGAGCTGCTCTAGGTTGTTAAAAATGTTTGTCCAATATGACTGATCATTTTCTTTGTCACGGAGGTAGTGAGCTACATGTACACCATTTCCAAATGCTGTGGCGTTGCATGAGTACCAGCAGAACAGGTTTGATGCAACAGGCATAATAAGTCTTCCTACTGATAGGTAACTTACCTGCCTATAAAAAACCTTACATCCAAGAGAAGGATTTGTTCCCAATGGTGTAAAATATGTTTGGACAAAATTCAATGTTAAGGTTGTGTTATATTGTGCTGCTGCCATTAAAGTGTCTATGTCACAAGGCCTGTGTTGCAATACTAGCACCTGCTAGATTTGGGGCTCCATATCACATATGCTGTTCATTTTATCCTTTGCAAAGCTTGAAGTAAAAAGAAATAACACTGAGCTACATTATCACAATAATTTTGTCTTACTAACCAGAATCTATTTAATCCCATAAACCTTGTAGTTAGGTGCTGCAACAAATATAGAACACAGAAGCAGAGCAATAGGTTTAGGATGGCGGGCTGAACTAAAGGTAGCATGTGCTGCAAGTAAAAAGTAGCTTTAGCACTCGTTCACACCTGAACGTTTTGTAGCGCGTTCTACGCTCGACGAATGCTCTACAAAATACGCTCAAAAATATAAATCCCATTGTATTCAATGGTCTCGTTCCCACCTTGGCGTATTTCCGCCCGTCCCTAACGCGCTACAAAACGGCCCACGCCTGAAAAGGTACAGGTACTACTTTGGGCCGTTTTGTTGCGCATTTCCATTGGGATACAGCCAAGTAGCCTTCGGAAACGCTCGACGGTCGCACAACTTTTACCGCGAATCGCGGTAAAAACCGCGTGACAGACGCGCATATGCAATACGCCTAGGTGTGAACGAGATCTTAGTCTTTGGGTTCAGGTACACAGGCTTCAAACTTAGAAGCAAGTCAGATGCAGAATGCTTTCTGGTGTTCTTAAGTTGCTTTGACCCGCTACTGTGATGTTTTGCTTTGCCTTGCAGTTGTTCGAGTAGGTGATTTAAGATGATTCTCAGTTGCTTCAAGCTGCTTTGAAACGCTTCATGTTTATTTTGCATTCACATTGACTTGTATGGGAAAGAAAAACAGGTCCAACACAAACCAAAGGTTGTGTACATGAGCCCTTACTGGGACACATGGGTGGAAGAAGGAATTACAACTTACCACAAATCATCCCTCCTAACTATATTCAATGATGATAATAACAAATTATAATTTAAAAATGAGTGCTCGTGCACATGGGAATTTGTTTGCCACTGAGATCCTCATACAAGTCAATATGAATAAAAAAGCAACTTAGAAGCAGCCTGAAGCAACTCACACACCTCAGAAGTAAAAAGAAGAAGCAGATCAAAGAAACTCAAATGTGACTACAAGTTATACAATAGAACAGCCTTTCTCAACTAGGGTGCCGTGGCCCACTGGAGTGCCTTTAGTCTTCCACCATGGTGCTTTGAAATTTTTACTCAGCGTCATGCTTTTAATGCAAAGAGGGTTCCAGATGTGGAGGGGGGCTCCTGGTGTGAAAGAGAGGGACTCTGATGTGAAAGAAGGGGACTTCTGATGTGAAAGTGGAAATTTTGATCAGAGGGGGGGCTCTGATGTGAAGGGGGAACCCGATTTTTTGTGTTTCTGCATTGGGTCCCTTAAAATCCACACCAGACACCTATTTTAAGGATCTGGTATGGACTTTGTAGGAGCTACATGTTGTTTTTTTACATTTATGGTTTTTACATTTTAGACTAGTGTGCCTCACGATTTTGCATACTTTTAAAGGGTGCTGTGACTAAAAAAAAGATTGAGAAACACTGCAACTTAATACTGCATTTGACTTTCTTCTGTGTACACAAATCCTAAAGTTACATAGTTACATAGTATTTGAGGTTGAATTAAGACATATGTCCATCAAGTCCAACCTATTTGTGTATGTGTATGGTCATATTGGTGTGTAGTATGTGTAGGTCCCCCTGTGTTCTCAATCTTAAGAGTACATGTACCCCTGTATATTACGGTCCCTGAGGAAATCTTCCAATCGCCTCTTGAATGATTCCACACTCTCAGCCGAGTATTTGTAGCAATGCACAAATCCTGCACTGATGCAGAGTTCACATGTTCCTTAAATTTACAGTGCTTTCAAGAAAGTAGCATTCAAGTACACAAAAATTTAATTAACCTATTTCATTTATATTAATATTTGGCATTAAACATATTTGACTTAATCTTTGCATTAAGATACTTTTTACAACCAGAATACCATCAGATTTTAAAGGAAGTTATTACTTACTGTTGAATTAGTTCAAAAGTGTCAGAGTGACCATCAAAATCATAATCAAATATAGGACCACTGATAACATTAATACCATTTTTCTCTGAAGCGTGTTTTAGTAATATGACATTCTGGAAATAATCCCAAATGACTAAAAAGGAAGAAAATTAGGAAAATAACTTTATATTTTTCCATTAGAACTTCACATTTATAATGTTATTATATGCTGTAAAATATCATAGGAATAAGGCAGAATTATACAGTAAACAAAGGGCAAAAAGAGCAATGATGTGCTGTGATGCTAAATGATCGATCTTCTTTCAGCTACTTAGTAGATTAGATTCCTGAAGCATGATTGTTATGGGCTATTTTAGGTCAATGTTCTTTCCACTGCTAATTAAGCAACCCTTTCCTTTTCCAATGTTACATAAAAACTGCCAAGTATGAACGATTCACCTAATACGAATGCCACTGGTGCATAACCAGTCTGTCCCCAGAGACCTAGAATTTCTCCCATTGGAATCCACCATCTTGTCTCTCAGAACGCAAAGAGAGGGAGAAGCCAGGCTATCTTTTGGGCAGTAGACATAACATCAGTGGTCTCATGAGTTGTTTGAGATGGAGAAGATGGTTTAGTTACTGAGTATTCACATTTACCTATCAGTAACTACACTGTTTAACCAGCGTAGGCTACAGGTTTAGCGAAGGAAGGAGTGCATTTGAAACAGCTGGTGAAGCAGAATATAAATATTATAAACTTTTTTTTATTTTGATAGCATACGTTATAATTTCTGTCAGCTTTTTATTACTGTCTATGGCCCTCTGGGGAGATGGTCTCCAACTTTAAGGCCATGTGACACCCTTAAAAAAAATAGGGGAAGCAGGTGTTACCGCAACAGGAAGACACTGTAACTGTCCGAAGTTTTAGTTCTTTCTCATTCTACTAAGAATTGTTTGTTGCATTCCCACTGAAAAGATTTTACCATCACTTCCTGTCCTGCAGCAAGGGTTAAATCTCCCCAGTAGAGACATATATAGCATTAAAAAACAGAGGTTCTTACTCCTTTCCCACTTGACCAAAAACAAAATAAAACGTTTTGGCTGGATATATTAAACCCTCAAGAGTAGTTATATATCCAAGGCCTTTTTCTATGATTACTGTGGATGACTCCCCTCTGGATATGCTTTTTGCTAATACAAATAAATATCACATTCTACTGCGACATAGTGTAAAAATAAAGAGCTGCATAGATTAAGCTGAGTAGAAGCAAATGGTGAAGTAGAAAAATCTGACGATAAAACCTAGATAATATACAATAACAATTTTTTGTGTTGAGAATATTCTAACCTTTAGATAAAAGGACTGTTATCAAGTAATTGCCATAAAGAAAGTGATGATTCAGAAATATCATAAAAAAACAGCAATAGCATATCATCACACAGAAGGGACAGAGTGCAGCTAGACCGGCCAAATAAAAAAATAAAATAGACTATGTCATAGTGAACTAGTTAAAAAGGTTAGTGTGATGTTACACCAATGCTTTTCTTTGCATCATTCACAGTATCCATAGTGAAATATGAACTATACATCCTTTAAATTACTTATCAATGGATAATCAGTGAACAAAAACTCTGCTCAGGTCTGTCCCCAGAGATTTAGTTCGATTTCTCATGGATCATAGAGGATATGAAACCAGGCTGTCAGTCACAGACCACATGTCAAACTCTCATAGGAATCAGCTCAGGTATTAGAAGGGGAGCCTTGCTTTATGTCTCGATAGTGCAGGGACAGTGGAATAAGAACTGTCACCTAAGAGTGTCTCCTTTGCAAAGCATAATCGTATTGAAGATTAGTGAACTGTCAAAGTTTGTATCTCAGTTTCTACTACATATAGAAGCATGGGATAAAAAAAAAAACCACATACACTGTGGGAGTTAGGAGTCTGAGCTGTGAAAAATAATACAAGATGATACCTCTTCTTTAAGGCCCCATTCAGGAAAGAATCGGCCTGCACGTACAGCTCCGTGCTGCGTGCGGGGCCGTACCAAGTAGCTGCCGGGAAGGACAGGTGCTGCGTGTGATTAGAACGCAGCCCCCGTCCTTCTCTATGGGGCTACGCGGCCGTACGCCCCCCTACGCTCACCTCATTTGCAGGTCCGTAGGGGTGCGGGTTTTCTGGCCGGGACGCATACATGTTCCATTCCGGCGGCGTATGAATACGATCACCCGCACCTCTACGGACCTGCAAATGAGGTGAGCGTAGGGGGGCGTACGGCCGCGTAGCCCCATAGAGAAGGACGGGGGCTGCGTTCTAATCACACGCAGCACCTGTCCTTCCCGGCAGCTACTTGGTACGGCCCCGCACGGAGCTGTACGTGCAGGCCGATTCGTGTGTGAATGAGGCCTAAAACTGCAGTGTTTAAAGTAAATGTCATACTTTCATTTGACTTTCACATTCCTATTATAATTGCTGATATTATAACAGGATAGTATATGCTGTGACTAACTGTCAACTTCTTTAACTAAAAATATGCACTCACTGGAATACACTATAATTTTCCTCCAGTTCTATCTTTCTGAGTAACATATGACATTGGTGGTGATAGGTATTGATCATTGGGTATTAATGTGTAATAAAATGTGTAATTAAAAAATGGGAGTGTTAACAATACATTTTTAATCTACTTCTACTGTTCTAGTTATTTACTTTCAACAAGACTTTGCCCCAAAGCATACCTTCTGAAGAACGACATGCTTGATAAGATATGCATACACTGAATTAACCAACAACACACAAAATAAGACAGTAAAGTGTTGGCTATGAAGTGGTAACATTTGGATATAGAAACTGATATCATTGGTTAAATGTTAGCAAGAAGAAGCATGTTAATGCTTTATGGATGAATACAATAACTGTCACAAAGTCACTATACTAACCTTTAAAATCAGGATACATTGGACCAATGTTGCTAGTAGTAATCCCTGAATAAGATGTTGGTTCAGATGTTCTTCTAAGGCCTAAAATGCATAATTCACCAATGGTTAGGGGATTACAAGTAAACCTGCCAGGCAAGGGCAAACAGTGCAAGGTAATTGCAATTAGCTTTATTAGCAATAAAAGGCCTTTCTGATCCTGGTTTGAATTTGATACACGTGGTTCAGTGTCCCAAACTTTGAGGCTAAGCCCTGATCTGTAAAGTTAAGCCACCAATCCTCATTCCTTGTCGAGTAAGTACCTTTATAGGTCATTCTCATTAGTTAGGGAGCTGGATCATAGGAGTTTTTCTGTGAGGGACCAATCCCAAAAGGTGGAAAAGTAAAAAAACAGTATAAGATTAGAGAGGCACACAGAAGAGTCTTCTCTGGCTAACAAAGATAATAGGAACACCTTTTGTGCAGCTTGCTGTTACGTTTTACTTTTATAAGTTCAAACTGGCTGACTGGTTCACTGTAAGATAACATGTCACCAACATCTGGCTACATAACTATGGATGTGGATACTCACTATGCAAGCCTAGGACTATGAAAAGAGAAGTTTAGAATTTAGAGTTTAGAGTTTAGACTTTTAATACAATATGGTTCCCCTTACAAAAAAAGAAGCACAACATGTAAATGAGCAAGTTAGTGCAAAAGAAACCTCTAATGCTAAAAAAAAACAACATTTAAAAAGTGTACTGCACTTCTTGTGCCTAGGCACTCCTGTACCTAAAGTCTCATAACTGTAAATCTGCAGTGCGAGACATTGCTGCCCATGATTGCTAGCTTCACCAGCTCTGGATTGAGGTTTGGTGATGTCACTACTGTGCTGCTCGCTGTTCTTCTTGCTGGAGAGAAAGATGCACTGCAACAATCTCCCTGCCTCTGCTTCAATCATTTGTTGAGTCTGTCCTTTCTTTACCCTTGTTGCAGTTTCCTAAATATCAGATCCTCAATCAAGTCAAAGTCTTGCTTCTCTGCAAAAGTTTCCACCTCCTCACAGAGACAGTGTGTAGTACAGTGGTGGCGAACCTTGGCACTCCAGCTGTGCCAAAACTACAAATCCCAACATGCATCTGCCTCTGGCAGTTATGTCTGTGGCTGTCAGAGCCTTGCAATGCCTCATGGGACATGTAGTTCCAAAACAGCTGGAGTGCCAAGGTTCGCCACCACTGGTGTAGTAAGTTAGTAATGGAGAAAAGATCAGCTGCACAGAGCCTATGGGCAATAATGGCAAGTAGTCCCTTACCCTTTGCTTGCCTTTTTTGGACACAGCTTCCACAGTTTAGGTCCTCTTGAAAATATATATTGCCTTCTCCATTTGGGAATACCTTTTCAGAATTCACCAATACTTCATCCATTGATGAATTCAGATACTACAATGACTATACTATTGTGCTCTGTGAAGACTATTTTGTTTTTCGATGGACAGACTTTAACATAATAAGTATTGCATACAGTAATGGGATGATAAAAGTGATGAGTAGTGTAATTACTTGCAGGAAAGAGAAATCCATATTTTAGGGAAGGATGATCTTGGTAATATTGACATCGCTGACTTTGTCCTGGTGGAATTCGAACATCCATGAATAAACACAAAGAAGTCTTTTCCAAAGACGCAGACACAAATTCCTAACAAATATAAAAAGCCTGTTAATTCCAAAGATAAAAAAGCACATCAATTGGTTCATGTGAGGATGTCACAATAATCCACAAATGTGCCCCAGACGGGAATCATTTCCTCAGTTAGTGCACTCATCAACTTACATTAAAGCTTTGCCAAAGATTACATTAGAGAAAAATCGGAATGTAATAAACACATCAAGCCTTTTTGTGGAAAGGAGGCTCGAGCTCTTGGCCTTGAAATCAGACAGTGCTGGCCATCTGTTCTGTGTACATGCTTTAAAACCTTCTGAGGACAGAAAGAGGGCACCCTTCCACACAAAATTATGATTGTTTTTTTACTCTAATTTAAAAGTTAAATGCAATATGAATACATTTAATAGTTAAAAGTTTTACATCCTTGCCACTTGTCCAATCAGAAAACACCAACAGGGTTATTCACAAAAGGGTGAAGAGTTTAGAGAAGGCAGGAGAAGTGACCAATCTGGGACAACATCGCTAAACTGCACAGTGAGCTGAATTGGAGAATTTTTCCAAATTGGGTATTTTTGGCCTAGATTGTTCACTTCTCCTGCCTTCTACAAACTCTTATCCCTCTTGTGAATAACCCTGCAAGTATTCAGAGAAAAATACTAAGCATTCTCTTAATGTCCAGACTAGACTCCTGTCTGTGTGCTCCTTTTAAAAATGTAAAAAACAAAAAATAAAATGATGAGAGCCATATGTCCTTAAAATTCATGACCTCCTCTAACATGGGTGCCAGAATCCATGGTAGCAGGCAGTTTTGTCTGTTCCATATCTATACTCCCACTTTGCTCTATTGTGCTACATATCAGCGCTACTAGGAAACAATGAATGTGTCATGTC